CTGCTGTGAGTCCAAGAAACGCCCCCACCTGCTCTGCACCACTTCGTTTCAAATTGCACTCCCTCACTCTCCTCCTCACTTTTCCTCTCTCTCCTTCCCCTTTCTCCCATTTGCCCTAATCCTTCACACGTACCTGCATCCCTGCCCTCAACCCATCCTCTCCTACCCCATTCTTTGCAATCCACAAATCGCCCCTAGCTGACTCCGCACCCACTCACCTCTGTTCCCCACTCTCTTTCCCCATTCCCGCTCCCTCCCCTCCTCCTCCAAACTCCCGCCCTCCCATCCCATCTCCCTACCTCGCCCCTCCTCACAGGGCGACACGTGTGTATCCATAGCCACACGGCACAGCCTCACAAACACCTGCGAGCCCATACAGGGCGAGGCCTCCCTCCCCTCTTCTCACCCTCTTTCCCGCTCCTCTCTCCCCACCTCGCCCCTCCTCACAGGGCGACACGTGTGTATCCATAGCCACACGACACAGCCTCACAGACACGTGCGAGCCCGTACAGGGCGAGGAGTGCACATCCCCCTCCACCACAGCGTGCGTGACGCCCTGCAAGACCGCGCTGCAGGCCCTCAACCCCGGGCTCGACTGCAGCACAGACACAGACGGGACTCTCCCAGCATACCTCTCAGTATGCGTGAAGGTGGACTATCTCTACGTGCCAAGAGTGCCCGCGTGCCCGCACGTGCACTCGGTGGCGCCGGGAGAGACGTGTGACGTGCTGCGCAAGACGGTGGCGGGCGGTATGAGTGTGGAGGAGCTGTACCAGCTGAACCCCGGGATTCTGTGTGACCGCATCGCCCTGCCTGTGCCTGCCACTGCTGCTGTCATCCCCAACTATGATGTGAGTGCCCTGTCCGGTCCTGTCCAGGGTCGCTAACCACACTGGTCTAGCAATGCACCAGTCCAGAGTTACCACTTGAGGTACCACTCGAGGTATCACTCGAGGTATCACTCGAGGTATCACTCGAGTTACCACTCGAGGTACCACTCCAGGGTCCCTTGATTATATCTGTCGTGCCTGCATGGACCAGGTCACCAGGCTCATTATAGCTCCCTCTTGATGCTATCGAAACAATGTTCTCCCTCCTTTCCACGCACGTCATCACAGAGGGTTGGTAGCTTAGTCCTTGCATGCTCTCTGTGATTTTGGCTGGTCTCTGCTCAGCCCCTTATTTCCCCTTTACTTACATACACACCCACCACCTTCCCCCACCACATCCACAGGTGTGCTGGGCTGACGTGTACGACCCGCAGATCCCCACCTGTCCGCGGCCGTACATCATTCTCAAGGCGGACACGTGTGACACGATCCTGCCTAAGTCCTTTGGTGGAAGTCACGATTGCTTCCGGCAAATCAACGGCTACGAATGCCTCAACCCTGTGCAAGTCGGTGCCCGCATTTGCCTGCCGGATCCTGCAGCTTTACTGAGGGGCAGGTGCTTGGTGTAGAGAAACTCGTGATGGAAAAACACGTGAGGAAGGACACTCTGTACATGCTTTCGGAACCACTCCAGTGTGCTATTTATTTTCATTTGTTTGTGATGTAAATTATTTTATAATTGTGTTCATGCCTTTCTCAGCTACACTTCCGTACCCATCGTTTGGTGGTCTGTCTGAACCGAAAGGTTTGGTTCGGGAATTCGCAGGTTTGGGAAGAGGGGACCTGTTTTCACCTCGAAACCAGTTTTAGCATAAACCGACCTGACTGCACCCTACCACACCACCCGGTATAACGAAATACTTGCGCCACTCGCTAGAAATATGCTTCGAGCCTAAGGGGGTGTTACATGTGCGCAAGAACTACGCTGGGCCGTGATGGGCCGCTGCGGCCCAGGGGCATTTCCGCGGACCAGCGCGGACCAGCATGGACCAGCGAACGGCCCAGGTGTGGACCCGACTTGCACCCGCACACGGACCAGCATGTACAGTGCGAGGCGCACGTACGAAAACGACGCTCGACACGCAGGACCATTTCCAGAGCGACCCAAGGCGATGGGAATCGCATGCGAAAACTGCGTTTTTATTGTTTCGTCAAAAGTATCTGCTGTCTGCGACATCTTGTTTAAGCGTGACCAGGTACACTTTTGTTTTCGTCAACACTTCGTTTTCGAGCCTGCAATGCACTGTGCAAAGCTGGTCCGCCGCAAATGGTCCCGGGTACCACGCGGGACCACTTCTGGAAGTGGTCCCTCAAAATGGTGCTCCCTTGCATTCGCTGGTCCATTTCCTTGTAAATGGACCAGCGCGCAATGCAACACCCCGCGGTCTTCTTGGCGTGTCAGTCACATCGTGAGTGAAGTGAATGCATTCCCAAGAATGACCCGTCAGCCTGCCCCTCTAGATCAGCAGCGGCGGAGCATCTTTCACCTTCTCCCTCCCCGCTGCACTTTCACCAAGCCGCGCAAATCTCTCCGTCTCGTAGTTTCGTCGGCTAAACCGATTCGAGAGCGCGATCCTGTCACTCACACTGATCCGACGTTAGGTGGTGTGATCCGATCCGACGTGGATTTCTCTGACCACGCTCCCTCTCTCCGTATCCTCCCCGGTCTTTCCTCCTCCTCTCGTTTCGCCAAGATCTGTAAACGGTTGCGGCCGTTGCTGCTGCCATCATCGCAATTCGCGAAGTAGAAACTGATTTCCTTTGCAGTTCAGTGTGCTGCGTGCCTTCTACTACTCCGTGTGTCTAAACTGCCGTCGTCTCGTGCCTGCTGCCTGTTCCCATCGCCGTCCACCGTCCACCGTCCACCGTCCGCCGTCCACCGTCCACCGTCCACCGTCCACCGTCCGCCGTCCACCGTCCGCCGTCCACCGTCCACCGTCCACCGTGCTGCTAGACTCTGACCCTTACTTCACGGTGCAAGCAGGTACGCAAACAAGCTGAAATGGTCGATAACTACCAGCACCAGAACCAGCAGCAGCAGCAGCCGCCGGGCGCGGTGCGGCTGTACCACGAGCGGCAGGACGCGGCGCTGTGCGGCGTGCACTGTCTCAACGCGCTGCTGCAGGCGCCGCTCTTCGACGCCGCCGACCTCGCCGCCATCGCCGAGGGACTCGACAGACGCGAGCGCGCCGTCATGGCGGAGGGCGGCGCGGACGCCGGCGCGGGGGACGGGGGGAGCGCGGAGGGCCCGGAAGGCGGGGATGGCGGGGAGTCGGAGAACGCGGCGGCGGATGGGGATTTCAGCATTCAGGTGCGCGCCGTGCCGTGCCGTGCCGTAACCTGCCGTGCCGTGCGGTGTGGTGCTTGTTGTTAGCGTGCCATAGTGAAGTTGGCTGACACCGGTTAGTCGCCATGCAGCGTGCAATCTGCGTGCGTGGAGGCTCATTAACGTACACGATTCTTAGCTGAGCTGACATATGCGCCTTTGTCTCTCTCCTTTGCTTCTCCCCCCCGCGTCTACCCCCTATCCGACGCCACGCTTTCCCTCGTTTCAGTTCTCTCCCCGTTCCCCTCAACCTCCCGCTCCCCCTTCCCCCCCTTCCCCCCTCCCCTTCCACCCCCCTTCTCCTCCCTCTCCGCCTCTCCCTCTCGCGCACAGGTGCTATCAGAGGCGCTGGCGGTGTGGGGTTTGGCGCTCACGCCCCTGGACGCCGCCAACAGCGCCGCACAGGCCGCGCAGGCCAACCCGCACGCCCAGACCGCCTTCCTGTGCCACCTGCACGTGAGGGAAAAGGGGGGGGGGGGAGAGAGGGGAGCTGGATCAAGGACTGGGGGGCTGTTATGAGAAGGGAGGGATGTGGCGGGAGGGAGGGATGGCGGTTTTGAGCAAGTCTGCTGAGGTGCTGTTGAAGAGCTTAGACATAGATACGAGGTTCCTCTGTAGAACCTACACCTTGCCTCCCTCCTGACCGTTTCCGAGTTCCCTCCCTCCCTCCCTCCCTCCCTCCCTCCCTCCCTCCCTCCCTCCCTCCCTCCCTCCCTCCCTCCCTCCTCTCCCTCCCCTCCCTCCTCTCCCTCCCCTCTCCCTCCTCTCCCTCCTCTCCCTCCCCTCCCTCCTCTCCCTCCCCTCTCCCTCCTCTCCCTCCTCTCCCTCCCCTCTCCCTCCTCTCCCTCCTCTCCCTCCCCTCCCTCCTCTCCCTCCCTCCCTCCCCGTCCCTGTGGTGCACCACCAGAGGCACTGGTTTGCGCTGAGGAGGGTGGGAGAGCACTGGTTCAACTTCAACAGCCTGCTCGCCGCGCCACAACACCTCTCCGAGGTGCGCTGCCCCGCACGCGTGGGGATGGGTGGGTGCATGTGTGTAAGGCTGGTTGAAAGGCTGCACAGATGCACGTGTGCAGGGGTTGGGTTGGAATGGGCGTGGGGTGTGGTGGGGGGGCTGGCGAGAGGTAGGCAGGTTGCCTGTCCTTTTGTAAGGGCTTGCTATCCCACAACACCTCTCTGTTGTGCATGGGGGCATGGGGGCGTGGGTGGGTATGGCACGGGGAAGGGCAAGCAGATTGGTGAGCGACAGCAGTGTACTGGGGGATGCAGCCCTTGCTCCTCTGCTAAATCCTTTGATCTCCCCTCTTTTCCGTTTTTCCCGTTCCCTCTTTCCCCCTTTCACCATTTCCCGCACCCGTTCCTGTTCCCGTTCCCTTTCCCCTCCCCTGCTTTTCTGCCACCGCCACATTCTTTTACGCACCCCCCCCTGCCCCACTCCCCGCACCCTTCCCCACACTCCCCCCCAACCCCCTCTCTCCACGCCAGTTCTACCTGGCAGCGTACCTCTCCTCGCTGCGCGCCGAGGGCTGGACCATCTTTGTCGTCACAGGTGCCTTCCCCCCCGCGCCCCCGCCTGCGTCCTCCTCGTCCGCTGCTTGTGGGCGCTGGGTGACGGCTGCCCAGGCCCGTGATGAGCTGGCAGCAGCTGCTGTGGCGAAGCAGTGGGAGGAGCAGGAGGTTCGGGCGGAGCAGCAGAGAGAGATGCTGGGGGGGATGGGGGGGATGGGAGGGATGGGAAGGATGGGAGGGATGTTTGGAGTTAGGGGGGGTGGTGGTGGTGGATTGGGAGGGGATGCTTGGGGGGTGCATGGAGGAGAAGGGGAGGGGGTGGGAGGGGAGGATGCAGAGTTGGCTCGGGCGCTTGCTGCTAGTCTTGCTGCTGCTGGGAGTGAGGCGCTGGGGGGGGCAGCGAGCAGAGCAGGTGTGGCTTCTGGGGAAGCAGGAACAGCAGCAGCAGCACGAGCAGCAGAAGCACGAGCAGCAGCAGAAGCACGAGCAGCAGCAGGAGCAGCAGCAGAAGCACGAGCAGCAGCAGCAGCAGCAGCAGCAGCAGCAGCAGCAGCAGCAGCAGCAGCAGCAGCAGCAGCAGCAGCAGCAGCAGCAGCAGCAGCAGCAGCAGCAGCAGCAGCAGCAGCAGGAGCAGGAGCAGCAGCAGGAGCAGGAGCAGGAGCAGCAGCAGCAGCAGAAGCAGACGCAGGAGCAGGAGCAGAACCGGTGGCGGTTAGGGGTGCAGGAGCGAGTGCAGAGGGTGGAGGGCGTTGGTGGTCGGAGTCAGAGAGGCAGTATGAGGATGACTTGGCTCGTGCTATCGCTGCCAGCATGGCGGATGGTGCACAGGCTGCGGGCAGTCAGGGGGGTGCTGCTGCCACTGGTGCTGGTGGCCCCACATGACAGTGGGAGGGTGTGCTTGCTGGTGCCGGTGCTGTGCGGTGCAGTGTGGTTTTGTGGTGCTGTGGTGGAGAGGCGTGGCTGGTGGGAGGTGGTGGTGGTGTTGGTGTCGAGGTTAGGGGGGAGGGGAGCAAAGGGCAGCAGCATCGGTGCCATGCCATGGCTGGGTAAGTGACAGTGTAACCTCTGCTATACCTATTTACTCTGCTTTTTCTGGTTTCTCGCCTCTTGTTGCAGTATAATTTCTGAAGAGCTCGTTCGTTCCACTCTCCCGCCCCTCCCTCTCTTTCCTCCAATGCATGTTGCCCTTCAGACATGCTCTTTTTTCAAAGCTCTACACTCCGTGTTACTCTAGGCTGTTAATCCTTGACTGTGGCTGACTAGGACTGGTGAAGGCTAGAATTGTATAAAATAGGTAATTTACAGGTCTAAGGATGATAGGGGTATCTTTATAGGGAGCTCTGTAGTGAAAATAAGCATGGCTCAGTACACGTCTGAAAATATACATTATCTGGGACTTACCTAAGTAGAACAATATTGCAGTAAATGGAGCGCCGCAATGCGCTAGACTTGACAAAAAAAATATAATGCACCGCAGCGGACCGCTTGATGTATTCCCGAACGATAGGGATTCCCCAAACCTAGGTTTTCTTCAAAACCCCTGAATCTCATTCCCCTTCGAAAATCACACACGCCACGGAAGGTGCGCGAAAGGGGAATTCCGCTCTGGTCAAACCTGGGTTTGCCAGCGTGTCCAATTTCGCTAAGGTCGCACGGAGTCTGGAGATTGGTCGCGATTCGTCAATGAAAATCCACCGTTCGCCATCTTGTTTCGCGTCAGATTTCGCATGACAACGAGGCGAAGTCACACTGCAGATCTGGGGTAGGGGACCTAGGGCGACGTCAGGTTGTACATTTCCCGCACATTTAGGCCCTGATCGGTAGCCCTTAAAGCCCGCGTCCCAAATTGCGGGCCGCGAGGGTCAAGTTTTTAAAACTTGACGAAGTTGAGTGTCCAAGCTTTTGAAAGTCACGCACTTGCAATTTGGGACTTTCGAAGACAGATTCACTCACCAGGGGGAAAACCGAGGGTTGGCTGGGTCTCGCGAAAAAAACGAACCCAGACGAAATCGGAAACTCTCGCCAAAGCCCACACCAGAAAAACTCCCTCTGGTCAACTTTTAAAAGCATGAACAATTTGGGCCGCCGGCTTTAAGCAGAGTAAGCCTTCTTCGCGTTGGCACACACGTGTGGGCACGTGTCTGTGGGTGCTTCCCCTCGCCTCCTGTAAGTTTCCCAGCTCCGAGGGGTGATCGGTACGCCCTCTGAACTCCGCGTAGGGAAGTTGCGAGGGTCGTGAGCGCGATCGCGTTCAAAACACTGTTGCGTTCTGCCCATACTGCCCCACTCGTCACCAAGAAAATATATTCTCACAAAGGGGTAACTGGGCCACAAAAAGACACCAATAGGACGATTTGAAGGTGTTTGAGGAGGTTAACGATGGCAAAAAGAAAACAAAATATGCGGTATTGTTGGGTTCACCCTTCGAAACCTTACTCCGAGTAGGCGAGGCTTGCTCTCCCAAAATGCTGGAGTTAGCGGAGTCCCTCCGCGGAGCCAGGATTGCCCGTGAAGGAACCTTCCTGAATGGCCACTTCGAGTCGTACTCCGAGAAGGGGCACCGGGCGATCGTTTGCCCATTCTGACTTACTCGGAGTAAGCCACGTCGGTGTGATTGTATCCGTAACACGTGCGAGAGGGAGTAAGTGAGCTCCCTCGAAGCTCACTTACTCCGCTTAGGGGGTGCTACCGATCAGGGCCTTACAGTTCTTGTATCGTGGCTCAGGACGGTTCCACACGGTGGGAAGAGGTTCTCAAAGTTTACCGTTTTGCACCGTGACGAAACGAAGTTCAGCGTACAGAAGTTGTACAGCCTGACGTCGCCCCCAACAACACACACAGCCACAGCACCAACCAACAACCCCTTCCAATTTCGTACAAATGGACAACCATTTCGTTGCCAAACTTCCCTCAAGGTTTGTATCTGTCACTCAACTTCGCCTCTACTAGAACGTCTGGTATTTTCCCCCAATCGTGAGCTCCTCTGGTCGGCTTCAGGTTCGTTCCTCCATCGCTCCTCGTCATTCTCTCAGAGCGAGGACTTGCGGCTGTCGCGTTTGTCTCGCGGCTCGTCGCAAGCGGCGCCGTGCGACGATGACCGGCGCCGGGTCAATCAATAGCATAGGTCTCGCGTGCTTGTTCGACGCGCACGCGCTTCGATGGAGGCTCGTGAAGCTGCGACAAGGAGGGCCAGGTGGAAACGGTGACCGGGACGCGCGCACCCCGCGCAGCAGGTGCCATGAGTGCTTGGAAGAGCCGCGCTGGTCGTCGCGGGAGAGACTGTGGACCACGGACGACCCGCCGCGCCTTGACGCGGATGACCCGCCGGGCCTTAAAATCGACGACCCGCCGCGCCGTCACGCGGACGACCCGCGACGCGCGGAGACCTGGGCAAGAGGTTCTGACTCCTCCCCCTCCGACCCGCCACCTTCGCCCTCGCCACCACCGCCTGCACTCGCAGGTGCAGCCGAGGCAGAGGCGCGAACAGCAGCAGCAGCAGCGGAAGCAGCAGGAGAGGGAAGGCATGCAGCGCCATTCTTAGTGGATGAGCTGATGGGCATGGAGCAGCTGAGCCGCGTGACGGTGATACACGACGTGGGCTACTATCACTGCAGCCACTGCGACGACCCCGAATCGTCTCGCTCCCTAATCGACACGGATTATGTCTCGCCCCTTCCGCTCCCGGATGCCTTGCGCTCGCGTCTCGAGCAGCTGTCGCGACGCCCGCAGCACGTGAGCGCGCTTCACATGCCCGTGACTGTCGACTACTGCTCAGGCCGGGTGTGGCAGATTAGGGAAATGATGGGCTTGGCGCGCTCATGCGTGAACCTGCGGTCGCTGCACCTTGTCTCTGAGCCGCCCAGATACGCCTCGTGCCCGATCCATCTGGAAAAGCACAGCGTTTGGGGATGGAAGGATCAAGCTCAGGCGGAGCAGATGAGGCAGCTTATAACGAGTTGTCCGCATCTACGCTCACTGCACTTCAGCCTCTGTGGCAACAACTACCTCACAATGAGTGAAGAAGTAGCTGCCCTGCTCTCCCGTCTCGCCCACCTCTCCCTGCCTCTCTCCGACCTCCCGCCTTACCTCCTTTCCCACCTCTCCTCCCTCCGCTCCCTCCGCCTCTCCTTCTCTGCTCCCCACCATCCCCTCCTCCTCTCCGGTCGCCCTTTCCACTCACTCTCCCTCCTCTCCCTCCTCCACCTCTCACTTGGAACCCCCACCACCGGCCTTTCCGAGCCTCTCTCGCCGGACCTGTTTGCTGGGCTCGGACCGAGCCTGCGGTCCTTGACGTTTTTAGTGTGTGCGAAGCCAAAAGGAGATGAAGGGGAGAGGAGAAAAATGTGTGGTGGGAAGGCGCAGGGTGGAAGGGATGGGGGAGATAACGGCAAGCAGAAGGGAGGAGGAAGAGGAGAGGAGGAGGGAGGCGGATGGGTGGGCGATGGGTGGGCTGGGGAGGACTCGGTGGTGGGGTGGCTGCCTGCCTCGCTGTGGTCGCTCACGCGCCTGCAGCAGCTCACCACCAACGTGGGAGGCGAGTGGCACTGCACGGGCCTCAACGCCCTCTTCTCCCCCCACGATTCTATCTCACCTTCCTGCCACTGCTGCTGTTCCTCCTCATCCTCCTCCTGCAGCGACGATTCCACACACCCCCACCAGAGCCACCGTCAGTGCCTAGCCTCCCTCCCCAACCTGACCTCTCTCTCCCTCCTCGCTCACCGCACCTTCCCTCCCTGCCTGTCCTCCCTCTCCTCCCTCACTCTCCTCTCCATCCCCCTCGCCTCCCCTCTCCACTCCCCCGCTTCTCTCGCCCTCTTCGCCCACTGGCCCCGTTTGTCTCATCTGCACGTCAATGGTGAGGGTCCTGCCGAACCAACCTTCTGCCACACCAAACCTGCAACCCGCCACACCGATTACTTGCCCGGAAAAAACACTTCGTCAGCCTCCCTCCGCCACGTCACTCTCACGGGGACAGCTGGCGTCATCCCATTGGCGGTGTGGGGGCGGCTGTGCCCTCAGCTGCAATCGCTCAAAATCCAAGGCTCTCCTTTCGTGGCTGTCCAAGGATGGGGGGAGGCATCGGAGGAGGCGAGGGGGGAGGGGAATGTGGGGCAGGGCGCATGTGGTGAGATAGAGTGCGAATATGGTGAGGGTGGGGGCGCATGTGGTGGAAGGGAGGGCGCATGTGGTGGAAGGGAGGGCGCATGTGGTGGAAGGGAGGGCGCATGTGGTACAGCGGATAAGCTACTTGCGTGCTTCTTTCCTTTTCTTGAGGAGCTTGTGCTGCTCAATGTGAGAAGCCATGCATGTTCTTCTCACTCAGGGCAAGAGCACTCAAGACCAGATGACACTGGCCCGCAGAAGCAGCAGCATCAGACTCTAGCATTCATGGGCGAGCTGCCGCGCCTGACCCACTTGGCCATCCAAGACTCCCCATGGCCGTCCCACCCGCCCATGCACGCACCCACCATCCTGCCGCACCTCCTCCCCAACCTCACCTTCCTCCGCATCCACTCCCCCCCACGTGCCCCCCTGCCCGTGCTGCCCCACCTGCGCACGCTCATAGTGGGGTCCTACCCGCACTCCTCGCGCTTCCTCGCCTCGCTCGCCCTCTTCCCCGCCCTCACTGCCCTCCGCATCTTCAACCTCTCCACGCACAACCACCACTCCGCCCTCTCCTGCCCTCCCCACCTCACATCGCTCCAAATCTGCCACTCCCACACTCCCCTCCTCCCCGACTGCCTCCGCCTCTTCTCCTCCCTCACTCGCCTCCACCTCTTCCAGTGTACCCCGCTCCGCGCCCTCCCCTCCTTCCTCTCCTCCTTCTCCTCCCTCACCCACTTCTCCTTTGATCGTCCTTACAACCCTGTTGTGGTGCCTGTGGGGCTTGAAGGGTACCTGCAGGGGAGAGAGTGGGCGCGAGAGCAGGAGGAGGAGCAGAAGGGGAACGGGAAACCGAAGAAAAAAAAGGAGACTAAGGAACAGAGGAAGAGGAAGATGAGATTCCAGAGTGTGTTTGAGGAATCGATGCTGAGTTGGAAACAGAAGGAGGAGCAGAGGGAGTGGTGGAGGCAGGTGGGGAGGAAAGAGGAAGAGCAGTGGGAGTGGAGGTGTGAGGGTGTAAGAGGAGAGGGGCAGGACGCGCAGCAGCAGCAGGAGGAAGAGCGGTGGCAGGAGGCGGAGCAGGGAGACGAGTTGGTGCAAGGGGTACAGGAGGTGGAGGTGAGAGGCTCATGCAAAGTCGCGAGTGACAGCAATCATTACTCGCACGATCAGCAGCAGCAGCAGCAGCTATTAACACCAGAGGAGGTACTAGCAGGGGTGCTACAGCAGCAGCAGAGCAGCAGCAGCATCAGCACTCCCAGCAGCACGCAGTTACCATGGGAGGTGCTACAAGGCGTGTTGCAGCGGGTGCAGAGTCCTGTGGAGCTGGCGAGAGTGAGACTGGTGTGCCGCGAGTGGCACCACTGGTGCCGCCTCCACACCTCCTGCTTCGCCCTCGCCCTCCACCCCCTCACGCTCGCCTGGCTGCCCGTCCCCCTGCTCCACCCCCCTCCCTCCACTTCTTCCTCCTCCAAGCCTGATTGCAGCAGGACAAGCCACCACGAGACGAGAGAAGCAGCAGGTTTCAACGGTCCCTCTCTCTTCTCCTCCGCGTGGCTCCCCTCCGACTCTCCCTTCTGGGTCATCCACTCCTCCCCCACCTCCCCCTTCTCCCTGCTCCCCTCATCCCGCCCTCCCTTCACCCTCGCCCCTCACATCACCCCCTCCTCCCTCTCCTCCTGCTTCACCCACTTTATAAACAACGAGGAACAACTCTCCCCCGTCTGGTTCGCATCGCTCCCCTCCCCCTCCTCCCTCGCCCACACCCTTGCCCACTACCCCTCTCTCTCTACGCTCGCCCTTCCCCTCGTCTCCACCACGGCCTGCCCCCTCCGCCCCTCCCATCTGCGCTCGCTGCTCGCTGCTGCTGCCGCCCTCCCTGCTCTCACCTCCCTCTCCTTGCTCCTAGAGCCTGGCTTCTTACCAGAATACAGGTGCGGATATGGGCGGCAGGACTGGCAGGACGACTGGTGGGAGGCTGCTGGAGTGGAGGCGAACCAGGAGATGGAGAGGGGGCTGTTTGCCGTGCTGAAGAGATGCCGGGGACTCAAGCAGCTGCACCTTCAAGGGGAGACCCTCACAAACCACCTCAAACTCCCCGACTCTCTCTTCCTGCGCTGCCCACAACTCACCGCTCTCTCCCTCCCTCTCTCCCGCCTCCCCTCCTCCCTCCTCCTCCTCTCGCGCCTCACCTCCCTCGCCCTCGCCCTCCCAGCAGACCCCATGCCGCCCCGCCTCTCCCTCCCCTCCCCCTTCGCCCACCTCCGCTCCCTCCGCTCGCTCTCCCTGCACGTGCCAAGCACCCTCCACCGCTACTACCTCCCTGAGGAAGGCAGCAGCTGGAGCAGCGTCTCTGACAACCTGCTGCTGGGTCTGCCCTCGTGCCTCTCCGCCCTCTCCCTGCACCTCCCCACCCCCACCATGCCCTCTTCCGTCTCCTGCCTCACTTCCCTGACTCGCCTTGACACCAACCTCTGGATTCCGGGACTGGATGATGATGAAGATGAGGAGGAAGAGGAGGAGGGGGTGGGAGAAGAGGAGGAACGGGAGGTTATGGCAGAGGAAGCAAGAAATGTGGGAGAGGATGAGGGTGGGTGTGTAATTGCTGATGGGAATGATGGTGATGGTGATGAGGAGGAGGAGCAAAGCAACGGGTTTGCCAATGCAGGTGTTGCCTCAAGAATTATTGATGAGAGCCTCCTGCCTCTTTGCAACCTCACCTCCCTCTCTCTCTCCCACTACCGATTCTTCCCTCCTCTCATCCGCCACCTCACTCGCCTCATCTCCCTCACCCTCCCATCCTCCCACCGTGCATACGATTACGGAGACGACAACACCCCGTCCTGCTCTCTCCACTACGGCCTCTCTCGCCTCACTCGCCTGGAGGACCTCTTCCTCTGCTGCTCTGACTCAGCCTGCCTGCCCCGCCTGCCCCGTCTGCGTCGCCTGCGCGTGCAATGCCCCGATGATATCGTGGACGTCGCTCGGTTCATTGCCCGCGTGGCACCATCCCTGGAGCAGCTTGACATCCGAGCCGACCGCTTCCGTTACTCCGAGGGAAATCTTTGTGCGTGGCGCACAGACAGCGGTGAATGGAGGGCGCCTGTGTTTCACAAGCTCAAGGTGCTGCAGCTGCTGGCCAACTCAGGCGACATGGCACTCTTCCCTGCCCTGGAGCACATGGCGCTAGCTGGCAATCGCGATGTGGCCTGGAAGGTGGAGAACGGCTTCTCTGCCAACCTCCGTTTCCTGCACTTGGACTGTGCAAAGCTGTCGGGATTTGAAAGTGAACCTCAGCTGACGCAGCTGACGGCGCTCACCACTCTGGTGGTGGACAACGCTGACTGCCGGGACTTCCTTGCATGCCTCTCCTGCTTCTCCTCGCTGCACACCCTCCGCCTCTCCAACATCACCAGAGGCTGCTCCCAGCCCTATCTCACCTGCCCGCCTCTCCTCTCCACGCTTCAAATCTGCCGCTGCGACCTGCCGCACCTCCCATCCTCACTGCTGAAATTCTCCCGCCTCACTCGTCTTGACCTCCTCCACTGGCGCCGCTTGCACTCTCTCCCGCCTTTCCTCTCCGCCTTCACGTCGCTCCGCCATTTCAGAGTTAGCTGCGATGGGCCCATGCCCCACGTGCCCCAGTGCCTGAAATACTTTCTCAACGGCAAGCAATGGTACGAGCATTCGGCCTGTGATGGGAGCTTTGACAGCTGAGCATATCACTGCTCCCTCTACGTTTTTCAACCCATTGCCATATCATACCACGTCTCCATTCATTTACGGTACCCTAGAATAGGGGGTGGTTGTAACTGATGGTTAGCCTCCATGATAGGGGGCGTAGGTCAGGACAGGAACTCCTTGATGATCCGTCTGGTGGTGCTTTAGGGCCCCATTGCCAAATTATATCTGTGGTAGTGTTAAGCTAGATTGAGTTGCTCATTAGTGTGTGCAACACTCGCAGGGTTTGCTATTTGTGTCACTCTCCTGTTAGTCCAATCCATTCCACTTGTGATACCATAACCCTGAACCGTTACTCATCTCACCTATTAATAAAACCTGTTTGCATAAATATACCCCTTAGACGGTGACACACGGTATACTGGTAATGTACCCCTTACATTGTGCTACTGGGTACTTGAAAACAAAAAAGCACATGCGCCTGGTGCTAGTTAATCCACAACCTGAACGAGCTCAAAGAGCTTTCCCTTAATGGCCTCCTCGAGCACTATCATGGGAGAGAGCTCCTTGCCTTCCAGCACGGCGAGCAGCATACCCTTGCTGAACCCCGACACCAGCGCCACGCTATCCTCACTTGCAGCCACAGGCGTACTGCTCGCAGAAGCATCTCCCCTCAGGTTCCAATACACTATCTGCGGAACAGGGTAACCCGCCTCATTGTACTTGCGTACAATCGCTTGATGGTCCGTCTCCCAGCCGCTCTCTCTGGCTCCGTAACCCCCAATGGCCGAGTGTGATTCGTCAAACTGCACCATGTCCGCCGGGTCTAGCTGGAACTGCTGCGTGCGGGACAGCAGCAGGTCAAACACAGCCTGGAAATTCGTGTTGTAGCCCCAGGCCATGCCCTCTGTGCTTCTCACGCGCTCCACCAGGGTCTCTCCCTGCACGTGGTGGATGGTCGGCTGCGCGGAGAAGGTGATGAGGTGGTTCTTCCACGGCTCACTGCTCACCTCGCTCACGAGCAGCGACAGTGCAATGGCCACCTCCATGGGTATACCCGACATGCTCCCCGACACATCGCACACCGCCATGCTGTTCTCCAGGGACCCCTTGCTGCGCACATCACCCACCATGGCCTTCCACTGCAGCTCGCCCACTGTATCATCGCTGTCCTCTGCTGCTTCCATGGCCGTTTTCACCACTTCATGCGGCAGCAGCGCCCCAGCAGCAATCTTCGCCTCCCCGCCCTTGACATCCGCCAGGTACTCTTTAAAGCGCGCCTCATCGTGGGAGAGGAAGAGCTTGCGGGTGTTCTTCATGCACACGGATGGGACTCGCCCGTACGCCACGTGCTCCCACCGCCCGCTGCTCATGTGCACCTCGGGCACCTCCAGCACTCTCCGCAGCGGCGCCAGCACCTCTCTCTGCAGCCTCTCCTTCGCCACTCGCACGTACCCTCCCCCCCCGCCCGCTGCTGCTGCTGCCCCGTCGTCCACGTCCATCCCGGCATCAGCAGCATCAGATTTAGCAGCAGCAGCAGCAGAGGAGGGGGAGGAAGAGGAGGAGGAGGAGGGGGGGAAGAGGGGGAGGGCGATGGAGGAGGTGAGCAGTGTGCAGTGGTCGAACGACTTGCCAGGGGAGGGGGCCCATTTGGCTGCCAGAGAGAGCTTCGGCGCCGGCCTCCCCATCCACTTGCCCTTCTTCTTGCCCTTGCCACCACTCTCGCCTTCACTCTTCTCCTCATTGCCTTCCTTCACCCCCTCCCCCTCTGCCTCCGTTTCCTCCATAACCATCTCCCCTGCCTCAGCCTTCTCGCTTTCCTGCTTCTTCTCCTCCTCCTTCACCCCTCCCCCTTTAGCGGTCTTCCGCGCGCGCCCCTCCTCGAACGCGCGCATCGTCTCCAGGTCCCCCTTCAGCGCAGCCGCGAAGATGGCCGCCACCGCGTTGTACACGGCGCGCAGCCGCTCGCTCGACTCGTACGCGTGCGCCACCGCCGCCGCCCTCCGCGCGTGCACTGCCTTGCGCACAACCGCCGCGCGATCGCTCTCCTCCGCCATCTGCCGCCTGTTCTCCGCCACCCGCTCCTCCCGACTCTTCTGCTTTTCCTTGCCTCCTTTGCCGCCCCTGCTCCCGTTCCCGTCGCCCTGCTTCATCATCTTCTTTCCCTTATTCGTGCCATTCCAAGCCACCGCACTGTCCTCCATGGCGTCTACGCCTTCCTCCGCCAGAGCGAGCCGCACGATCTCCAGAAGATCTTTGAAGCACCCGAATTCCGGAACCAGCCACAGATTTTGCACGAGCGTCCGTGGGTGGTTTTGGTAAAGCCACGTGACGCAGTGGAAGAAGCTGGAGCGGTCGCTTTTGCCCGTGCCGCGCACTGCGCGCAGCTGCATCACCAGTCGCAGCGCCGTGGCTGGGTCCTCCGCCCACGCGGCCTCGAGCCGCCGGTGCGCATCGTCGCGCTCGGTCTGCGGCAGCACGTGGAAGAGGAAATCCACGCACGCGTTCCCCGATGACACGTACGTATCCGCGAGGTTCTCCGTGAGGCCCCGCTCCGGCTCGCTTGCGACACATTCCATTTTCATGCCGCCAGTGGCATTGTCGGCGCTCTTGGACAGCGTCACGTTGTCCGCGTGCTCCGAGGACGGAACGGCTTGAACCTCTGGCAGTTTCTTGGAAGGGTCATCCTCGTTGACCGGACGACGCGCACGCAGCTCCTGAAGGAAAGGCAGGGCCGAGGAAGGGCAGTGTAGGACGTGGCTCGTGTCTACTGGAAGTGGGCCGGACAGGAAGGTGGCGGCGTGAGCCCCCATGGCTGATATCAGTGGGACTGAACAAATAGAAAATGGCTGTCGCTTCTATGCGTGGAACAGGCAGTAAAGACAGTGTGTGGGAGATCTGGAAGACTCCCAGATTCACGAATTCGGAGAGGCTCTGGAAATTCTGTACTGTAATGGTTGGGAATTTGTAAACTCGTTGCTCACATGGCACTAGGCGAGGTTGACTTGCGTGCTCTGGAAGGCTAGGCTTGGCTTGGCTTGTTCCCTCCTTTGAAGCGTACGGTTGATTGGTCTGCGTTGACCAGCCGAAACGCAGGCTGGGCTGGGCGAGTGAAAGCGAGAGCAAACGGATTCCCCAGGGCGAGGCTGCTTGAAGATCAGGCTAGATTGGGGGTACGCGTTATACCCTGAATCCTGGACAGAGTCGCCGCGGACACGTAAATATGCTGGGTCTCCTTGTTCCCCGATTATATTTTCGCTTCTGCACTCATAATAAAACCCACATTGTCTCCAAACACATTGAACCAGATAGTTACACAATCCTCTATGAGACTGATTCAAGTGCACTTCATTATGCTGGAATATTTTAACACGTTGATCTCCCTGATTCAGTCCTTCATATAAAAAAACTCATAGAATTGCGTCACTGAAGTAGTTAACACTAATAAAAAAATTCTAAACACATCATGCAATCAACAACGACCTTAATTGCTTTGCAAACATTCTGGTTGGCACTGCTGGATTGAACAAAATGATTTATACAATTCAGTCATTCGATTTGAACTGTCAAATGTTGTAGCCTGCAGTGAGGCATGTCATGTGGGGTACAGTTGTTAAGGTTAAATATATGTACACCAACTCACAGTAATACGGCCATCATTCCGTTTCTGACATGGTATCACCCAGGTTAGGATCCTGTTGGATCCCATTCCTCCCTCTTGAGCCTCTCGCGCCCGTTGCGCCCAGCCTACCACGCCCATAGTGTCGAAACAGTAGCTAGAACTTAGTAGCCATAGATAGGGTTTTGGGTGCTAGCATGAGAGTAGAGATTGTTTGGCCAAAGAAGATGATGCACTAGCAAGCAGGAGAGGTACAAATAACAAGCCCTAAAAGGGTTATACTCACTATTGAGTACCCCACTGCAGACTAGACAAACATAATATTCTGACACGTAGCGCCCTACCGTCGCGCCCGTCCCGTCCCCTAGCGCCCATTGCGCCCGTCCCGTCCCGTCCCCTCGCGTCCATCGCGCCCGTCCCGTCCCGTCCCCTCGCGCCCGTCTCGTTCCGTCCCCTCGCGCCCGTCGCGCCTCCCTGCCCGTCGCGTCGCGCCCTGCCCGTCCCGTCCCGTCCCCTCGTGCCCGTCGCGCCTCCCTGCCCATCGCGTCGCGCCCTGCCCGTCCTGTCGTGTCGCGCCCTGCCCGTCCCGTCGCGTCGCGCCCGTCGCGCCTCCCTGCCCGTCGCGTCGCGCCCTGCCCGTCCTGTCGTGTCGCGCCCTGCCCATCCCCATTAGTTAGGGTTTCCTCCGCCAAACTAAGACGTGGCAGCAGTAGCTCCATCCCCTCCGCATCAACTATGGCGACGCCTAGGGTCCTGCGCTTTGACGCCGAGGGTAGGCAGCTGGAGTTCTCTATCTGGCTCCTCCGTGCGCAGCGCCTGTTAGAGAGTCAGTGTCAGGCTGACGAGTCCCTCTGGGCGCACGCCTCCAGTGACCTTCTTGCGCCCTCTGCTCCTGAACCCCTAGGCGCTGGCAGAGAGCGTTTTGCACGTCAGCGCGCTGCCCTGACAGCCTGGAAGTCGCGCGACGTCGCGGCATGCATTGCCCTCAGCAGCCTCCTCCCCGAGTCTGAGGAGACCCACTTCACCCAGGTTCGCACTGCTAGCGAGTTCCTGACTGCGACCAAAGCCCGCTACTCCACTCTCACCATCTCTCTTGGTCGCCTATTCTTCCCGTTCCTGTTTTCTGACCTCGCCTCGTTTGAGCGTTCTGCTGACTTGATCGCTTACCTGCGTTCGCTGGATTCTAGCTACCGCGCTGCCTGCACTGATGCACAGCTTGCACTGCTCCCCCCCCCCCCCCCCTTGGCGATTACTATTTATTTTATAGCCACTAGCCTCCATGACCGCCTTGCCACAATTCGCGACGTGCTCCTTCTGACGCACCCTAGCGAGCTCGCTACCGAGGTCCTTGAGTCTGCACTCAAGGACTTCGAGAGCAACCTCCGCTCGGTAGCCTCCGTCTCTTGCGCTGTGCCCCCCCCCCCCCCCCCCCACTGTTCCACGGTTGTACTGTCCCACAGCTGCCCTGCTGCAGCTGGTGGAGGTGACGCTCGGGTTTTGGCTCCCCTGCTGCAGCTGGTGGAGGTGACGCTCGGGTTTGTCAGGCACCTTCGGGGCTGCCAGCTGCAGGTGCTGGGGTGGCGGCCTGGTACCTGGCCTAGCAGCAGCCGCGGCAGCAGCAGCAGCAGCCACTACTCTCGCAGCAGCCACAACAGCAGCAGCCACTACTCTCGCAGCAGCCACAGCAGCAACAGGGGCAGCAGCAGGTTCCGAGGCATGGGTCAGACCTTATTAGCTGACGCGTGGTGACGCCCACCCACCCTGCCCCTACCTCATCCAGACAGGTACTCGCAGTGGCCTCCGCTGCGACCCCCGTCACCCACCTGGTCAGTGCTTTGCTCAGCTCACTGACAATCTTCGCTCGGCCTACGGCGTGGACGACCCTGCCCCTGACTGGCCTGGAAAAAGGTTACTCCCTCATGCTAATAGTAGCCTCTAGATACATAGTGTGCCTTGAAGATAGGTGGTGATTTAGGTGGCCGCTTCACCTTGCCATCGGCTTCGTTCGCCCCAGGAGTGGGAACTGCGTCAACGCAAATGCGTGTGGATCTCCAAGATGGCATCTCTGAGTGTATGGCCGCTATTTATTGAGAGGCCCACTGCCCTGAGACTGCCTCGCGGTACGTGCGAGGAGTCGGTATGTCAAGGGCGTTGGGGTCTCACTCAGCGGCTAGCAGCATGGCACAGAGATGAGGAGAAGCGGCTGCCAGGAAGTCCAGCTCAAACTGCCTATTCTCTAGGACGTCATAGCTAAGAGCATACTCACCCCCGACGGACAGAGGACATGCAGCCACCACGTGGGGGGTGTAGTTAAGGCGGTGGGTGGCAGCAAAGTCAGAGACAGCGACAACAAGATAGACGACGGAGGGGCAGCAGTGTCCGTCACAAGAGAGGCGAGAACACGTGAGACAAGTGGACGAGCAGCGCTGTAGTAGTCAGTGATAGGGTGAGAGGAGGCTGTAAGGGACGACGCAGCAGGTGACGAGAGAACAGGGTGAGGCAGAGAACAAAAAGGACTAGAATGAAGCAAGACAGAGTGGAGATCATCAAAAGGAGACGAGGGACGAGCACGAGGAGGACAACGACTTGCCCAAGCGTGCGGAACAATAGGAGGAGGCGACTGTGACTAAGGAGGAGAGAAAACAGTCGAGGACGAGTCTGGATGAGGAAAATCGTATGCAGTAGGTGGCAGTGAGCGGTCCAAAGGGGAGGAAGGGAGATCAAGAGCCCGGAGGCCAGTCACAGGTGGGAAAAACTGCTTCAATAGTGACGGCTCTGGCGTCTGCTGTTGCTGCTGCTACTGCAGCTCTTGCTACCGCTGCTCTAGCTCCAGCCTCTTTGTTACAGGTAGTACCACGTATTTGCATGACACAATATCAGAAGTACCGCTTCAAGAGTCGACTCGATAAATAGCCTGGTTCGTGAACAGGTACATAACAAAAAGGTACAATTTCTCATGATACATTTCTTGTATTTTCTTATTATTGTAATCAATCATTGTTCTTACTACTACCAGCACAGGAATTCCAAAGCCTCTGCTGCAATCACTTTTATAAGAACTAATATCTTAGAAGGTCCTAAGGCTTTTTCTCAATCCAACATTGTATGAGAGTAGGAAAGGCTATGCTTTCCTAGACTACGGTTTATACCCAAGTACCAATTTTTTCATTATGATCAAGGAATTAACTGGCTGGCAACAACGGCAGTAAAACCTACCTTCAGGGTGGAGGCATGGTTCTAATCAACCTTCTGCACCACTGCCACCTGACTCAGGCAAAAACACTGCCAACCCTGATCCAATAGCCGCATCTGCTACTCGACCAGGAGGCACAGAAGAATCTTCCAATTCCTTCATGCGTAACCCCGATCGAGATGCTACTGAATCTCACCAAGCTCCAATCGATCCTCTAATTCAATAAGTGATGACAATCATGTCTTCGTACTTTGGAGCAGCACCACATGTGTCAACGCCAGTAAGCATGGGAACGGCTCCAATGAATGTTGATGGATACTCGTATGCGTAACGTCATCAACAACCAATTTCTTATCTAGTTCCGCCTCGACGGCAGACGTGGATCACATTTGCGTCCGTACCACCTGGTGTATCTGCGCAACAACAAAATTAACATGATGGAGATGGAGGTGGAATGGGAGTCAGAGATGCAACAAACTACCAAAAACATAAGCTGAGCATCTTGAAGTCTGAATGGTAAGACTTTTCCGCCTGAAGTTTTAAATTTGAGCTCATGATGGAAGCAATGAAGATTTGAGAGTACTTCACTGGAAATGCGCAGCAGTTTTCTGTAAATGGCACATTAGAAGAGCAACGCTCTTTCAACTTTCTATCGATGATGTCGTTTACGTTTTTTCTTCGTATTCTGTCACCAACAAAACAACAGAGTATCATGTCTTACAAGGTGTACGGAATTCCAGCAGAGTTAGCATGGCAACATATGAAGCGGCTTTATGAAGCTACAGGTAGTGTCACCCGGAGTGGAATTATTGTCAGAGTTATATGACATTGTCTGTGTAGGCTGTAGTGGGGTAGACAATATGGGGTACAACACTTCTAGGGTTTCCTACTTGTACCCACCTGTTTGCTAGTTCAATCATTCCTCATTTCTTCACATGGTATAGAGCTGGTTCCCTCATGGGACAGTTTCTTCCTTGGGCCCACCATTCGATTTTTTTTTTACTGCCCTAAACGCGCTTCGCGTCCTGCCCTAAAACTTTGCGCACCCCCCCCTTAGCGGCCCCCCTTCGCGGCCCCTTCGCGGTCCCGGTCGCGACCCCTTAGCGGCCCCTCGCGGCCCCTCTTACGGCCCTTCGCGGCCCCCTCACGGCCCTTCGCGGCCCCTTCGCGGCCTTCGCGGCCCCTTTCGCGGCCCTTTGCGGCCCCCCTCTCGGCCCTTCGCGGCCCCTTCGCGGCCCTTCGCGGCCCCCTCTCGGCCCTTCGCGGCCTCTTCGCGGCACTTCGCGGCCCTTCGCGGCCCCCCCCTTCGCGGCTCTTCACGGCCCCTCCGCGGATCTTCGCGACCCGCCGCAGCCGCCCAGCCGCCCCGTTGCCGCCGCCCCAGCAGCAACTGCCGTCGCGCCTGCTGCCGCTGCCGCTTCCGCCAAGACCGTTCGCCGCCGCCGCTGCTGCCGTGATCGCCGCCGCCGCCACTGCTGTCGTCACAAGCCGCCGCCGCTCCTGCTGTGACAGCTGCCGCGGCTGCTGCTGAGACAGCCGCCGCCGCCCCTACCGTGACAGCTGCCCCCGCCGTCCCGGCCCTGCACTGCAGCCGAGTCGCGGCCCTGCCCTGCCGCCCTGTTGCGGCCCTGTTTCTACCGACGCACCTCGGCCCTGCCCCACCACTTGCGGGTTTTTACCCACCCGCCCCTGGTAAGCGCACAGCCGAGCCGCGTCCCTCCTGCTGCTGCTGCTGCTAGCCTGCTACTGCTGCTGTCATGGCTAGTCCAAACGTGCTTACCTTTGATGCTGAGGGTCGAGCGGTAGACTTTGAGGTCTGGATAGATGATCTGCAGCTTTTCCTGCAGTGCGATAGCAAAGATGGCATTTCACTGTTCGATCTCACGTCTGGTGCCTCTGCTGCCCCTGCTGCTGATGCTGCTAGTACTGTTCGCTCTGTCTGGACCACGCGCGATGCTGCTGCTCGCCTTGCTGTGCGTAGTCACCTGCCGTCCTCTGAGCGCGCGCACTTTAGTCAGTACAAGAGTGCTAGCACTCTGTACACTGCTGTTGTTGCACGCTACTCCCCCCCTGCTACTGCTGCCCTTAGCCGCCTCATGCTGCCGTACCTGTTCCCTGACCTAGCCACTTTTGCCACAGTCGCTGACCTCATTACGCACCTCCGCACTAGTGACACCCGCTA